ATGGGAACTCGTATTTAAAACATTCACTCATTCATGTTTAAGAGATGTCATGGTAAATAAATTATGACTGTTTACACATAGTCCTAAGTGTCTTCTTTTTCCACACTATAGGCAGCTATTTGGCTGAGATGGTATCATTCAGTGATCTAATCACACTCTACCTTTTTTCTCACTTGAATTGTACTTTTGGCTGTCACTTGCTCTTTTGAACAAAGGTTTACATTATTAGAAGACATCATAATAGCCTATCTCCTTTTCCTAAATTGATATTCAAATCAATAAAGATAAGGGCAATCTTGTCTTTGTTCCTAGCAAAATGTACCATCTGCATGTGGCTTATGATATTCAGCTGCAAACAAAATTCAAGCATAAGGAAGTCGTTAATACTACCCTTAAGTTAAACTGCAATTCTAAGTATTTTATAAGCTTTGTAACAGTCAAAGCCAGTAAAATCGACCCTGTATATTTTTATTTCATCTCTGTTGGATGATATGATATTTAATAATTGGTTCTGGCACCTCGTTGCAAATTATTATAACTTTGAGATTCAACAGTTTTAATGAACATATGGGCAGCACAGCCTCAGAACATATATATGATACAGTCTATCAAGGGGACCTTCTGTCTTGTTTTGCTGAGCTTTAAGGGGTCAGGTAAATTTTGTTGTGTAGACTTGTGCTAAGATTCTTCAGGTTTTGTATTTATGGAATTAAAAAAAAGTAGTGAATTAGATTTCTTCTCTGTTGAAACTCTATTTGGATGCAAGGTTCCTACTGCTGAACAATTGTATTTACTGTTATTGACATGTGCGCTATTCTGTCAGGATTCAAAACAGTATTTAAAAAACAGCATCTGGAATGAATAGGAAAGACATTCTTCAATCCTAAATGTATGACTTTTGTATCACATGGTACCATATTGTATCAGTGTTTGTTTCAGTTAACACTACATGAAAGTTGCTAAAAGCAGAAGACCTCATCAGATTAATGAAAATGAGCACACTTAAAACAGCTCATTATTAATACCGTACATGGCACAAAACTGATCATAAAAAGAAGATGACTGCCCAAGGAATCTGATATGTTGCATATTAGTCATGTACCCATAGGAACAATATACACTCTTCAGCACCACCATCTCAGTTGGTTATTTTGTGCTTTCTATCCATAGCCATCCTATAATCCCTGATTTTTCATCTGTTTTAGGCCATATCAATTCCTATTTTATCTATATCTTGACTGATATAGACAATATTGGAACCAAAATAGGCCTTTCCTCTGTACCCAAATCTCCCATTGATTCACCAGGAGATAAAGATATGTAAGGAATTTAGAATCAAGTCCATTATATAAATTAATAGTATATGCAAATAACTGAATAGAAAACTGTACAAAAAATAAAGGAAAAGAGAATGTTGCTATGCGTGAGTATTTGGGATGCGAGGATAGTTCAGTTTGTCCTGATTTTGTTACATTACCAGTCAATGCACCCCACCCTTCTCTCTTCCTCTTCCAAGCAGCTTGAAAATAATCACTTTGGGGCTAAAGCAATGTTTGCACAAGTTTTTCAAGGGCTGCTTTTTATTATGCAAGGCTGCATTTTTGAAAAACAAAAACAAACAAAAATATCCCACCCATCTTTCCTACCAAATTCTATTTCTTTTTGTTGTGTATGAAATGCTTATTGGAATTTGTAAATGCCTCAGGTTTCTTTGTCTGTATCTTGCCTTTTATTCACCCAGCTTCATCTCATGTTCAGAGCTAAGGTTGGTAAACTTTACTGTTAGGATGGTAATTTGTGAAAATAAATGCAAAAAATCCTTCTAATGACTGTGAACAGCAATTTGAAATCATACAAACACCCTGATTTGGAAGTATAAAAGGTATATAAACATTTAATATTTTTGGGACTGTAATGTTTGTATATTATGCAGGAAAGCTCTTATTAGAATGTCTTTGAGACATTTTTCAATCACTTGCCTAGCATAATTTGAACCAGTAGGTGGAGTGCTTGCTAATAATAATTGAATGTACAGAACTTGCTCTTAATATAAGTGCAAGATACTTTTCTTATTTTAAACTGCTAAAATCAAATTTGTACTCAGCTCCTTCTATTGGTATAATTAGTTGGCAATAATATTACAAGGGCAGAGTTGATTGTATGCAATCCTGTAGTTGCATTTTAGAAAACAGAGGCAAGCAAGGCCCTGGACGTTAGAACATAGTAAAAACCTCAAAGGGAAATTTTGAAAAATATTTTTTTAGAATTTGAAAAATGTAAATTTTGATCGCCTCTCCCTCCCTAAAGTTTGGTTTTGTTACTATGTGAATTTCACCCTTTGCAAGGGATTCACATAAGAATCTATGAAGTACTTGGGCCCCTCTTCAGTTTCACAGGTTAAATTCTCTGTTGACTTAATACCATTGAACTCTAAAGAGTTGAACCATTAGAGGCTCTGGCCATTTATTAAGACAGTAGGACCCAGCGTTGCAAATACTTACTACTGAATGCAGCACATACTACTTTATGTAGTCCCACTAAAGTCAGCATGAGTTTGCACAAAAGGCAGCACTCTGCTTGGTCCTGATTTTTTAAAGGAACAGGACATTTAATGTGACATGGAAACTTACACAGGTTCTCAGGGGTGTTTCAGCCCTAGTGCATCCATCAGAGTCCACTGCTTTTTAAATATAACACTGCAAGTAAAGCTATGAAAATGGAGTTTAATCTTTATCATGAATGCTATTTTTTCAGTGAACATTTTAAAATGTATTTCTAAGGTACAACACTACACACTCGGATGATGATGTCAAATGCATTTCAAAGCTATAACCATATTTTCACTGACTACATCAATATAGCTGTATCCACATTGCACCTAATGATGCTAATGCAAAAGTTAAATCTGAAAGGAGGGGAAAAAATTCCAAACCAAAATATAGGACCAGTAATAATATTTAGAAACAAGAATAAATATGTGAAATTGGAATGGAGAAGCAACATCTCTCTCTTGGTTAAATCTATGAACGGAAAGAGGCAGAATGATACCGGTGATCCACTTTGTCAACTTCTCTTTTCTTGTCTTTATTCCTGTTTTAGGAAAGCAGACGTAATCCCATTTATGTCAATGGAAATTTTGGACTCAGAACAGTGTATAGGTCTAAATGCTAAATTATCCCTCCTGTGTCACTGGTTCATGAATTTCCTTGTCCACAGTGGCCAGGACAGGGAATCCAGAGAGGCTATAGTAGCACATGCCATGCCTCAGTTCCTGACCTTCCTTCCATTCTTCTCCACACCAACCCCATTGCACTGACCACTCTGATTCTACCTGCTTTCATAGTGGAAACTCACTGTGACAATGGAGCTGGAGGTAGGACTTACCCCACAAATCTCAAGTCTGTAATGGTGCTGCTGCAGGCTCTTGTAAAGAGCCCCAGTGCTCTCACTGGGGCTCCATGTGGCAAAGTGAGTTGCTCACACAATTCACTTTGCAAGATTGCGGGCTAAGCAGTTAAAGATAGAGTGATTTGAGTGGGAGTTTTATTTTATTACGGCAACATAAAAGTTAATTTAATACTTCACTAATGTTTATATTTTAGTTCCTCGTGTAACTATTTGAATTTCTTTTTTCACATTTTTGCACATCACAGAGCCATCTTTAAGAACAGTCCTATGTATATATACACTACTACAACAATAAAGATCTTAGCATGTAAACAATGTCATTTCTTTGATCTATGAATTTCTAAGAAAAGACTAGGTATATACATGCAAATTTGGATATTTATTTTAATGTTTGTTATCGAGACAGAAAATGATGTGATAAACTCAGAATATTCAAGATTTATAATATAATACTTGGAAATACTTTCAGTGCAACTTGGTGTGACTCCTGACCTTTTAAGCTATGTGTGATCTTGCTGTCCAGAAGCATAGTAGCTGATGTATTCTGCCTTTTGGCTATGACAAAATCTCATTTAGAGAAAGTTATATGCAATATGGAAAAAACAATGCAAAATAATAAGTCCTTTCTTTAAAAAATTCAGGTTTGTGCTTTGGGAGGAACCAGGTATTTTTATATTAACTTGCCAATGTACATATCAAAGACTATCATAATAGAATGCTGAACTCATATTGGATCACACTGACTTACAACTATAGCTGGTGTTCATACATCATTATGGGACCTCAAGAGGTGGAATCAGACCCACAGCTCCAAACCTGACCCTTTCCCCAACCTGTGTAATTTGCTAGGAACTACATGAGAACAAGGGTGTTTGGAATCCTAGTCTCCCATGCCGCTGAGAAAGCTGATAGAGAGAAGGACTGGATGATCCACATAGCCATGAATCTGACCCATGTCTGCCCATGCCCCACTTAGCACTGTGTGTGGCTGTCCTTTGAGCTCCCACAATGCTGGGTTCCATAGTCCATGAGAAGTGCTGGAGACACTATGTCAGCTTTTGGTCTCCTGGGCAGCAGAATCATATGCCAAAACCCTTTTCATCAGTGGTGGAATGGGTACGATTTGGGATTTAAAGAAGAATTTTTGAAACTGCTTATTTTTTCAAAGAGTTTAAGTGAAGGGGGGTTACAACTTCAAATTGGATCATGAATCAGTATGTACTCAAATCACATTTACTATTAACAGAAGGTGCTATGTGAGCAAATCTGGGAACAAATTGTTAAATACTAAAAGTAATAAAGTAATACATGTAATAAATTCCTATGTATAATATTTAGTTTTGTGTTAGCTCTCCAGTGCCATGTCAGCTTTTGATTTTATCTTGATCCAAAAGCAATGAACAGATACATCTTGGAAGTCTCTGTGGCTTTTCCTTCTTCCCCGCCCTCCTACCCCCACCCTCACTTATTTATCACTTCCTATTCTGTGAGTGTCACTGCTTATGTATACACTTAGCATATTTTTATTCCTCTCATTTGAAAAAAAATATTTTGAGTTCACTTGCTTTTTTGTCAGTTGTCATTCATTTTACCTTGTTTTGCTTGCTTCAGTATGTTACTTCCCCTTATATTGTGAACTATGTCATCTGTGCCAATGTGCATCCTTTGATAGTAAGTATACAGTAGACTTTACTGAGAAATAGAAAGGAGAAGTGTTAGCCACTGCTCTCACCAAGATTATATTCTCTCTTAATAGAAGCTGTTGATAGATCCTGTGAGGCTACAACACTTGGGGTGTTGACTTGCAGAATGAAATCCTCTACACACAAGCACAGCAAAATATTTTGGTGAAAAGTAATTATCAGAAATAGTGACACTAGTAAATTAGTTAACTACATTTCAGCATGAAGCTTGAGTTACCCCTGCCCGTTCTTGTTCCAGTCCCATCTAAAATCAGCAGTTCGGCTTAATGATGTCACAACATTTGCCAGGCTGTGGGCACTGAAGAGAAGACGTGAAAATGCTCCCACTGAATCAGATCCCCTCCTCTCACTAAGCACAGTTAAACAGCCCATCTGTCTCACTCGCTTTGGAACTGTTAGCTTTCAAACATCATTCTATTATTACCACTGCAGTTCTAAAGAACTGTCTTCGATTTTAGACTATGCATTTGCAATCAAGTTTTTTGAATTCTCTGTACATCGTTAATGCAAATCTTAAAGCCTGATACTGAAATAGTACTAGTCAGCTCTTCCCAGTAGGATCAACTACTGCAGATCACCATTCATTTACCCAAGGGTAACCTTTTGTAAAATACAGATATCCTACTTAAAAAAAAATCACAACAAAAGAATCCAACCCCTCCCCAATCTCTAATATTTTTCAAAGTGTGAATTGAAGAGGACTGAGAGACAGATGGGTCTGGATGATCAGGTTACCTGTTATAGCGGCACATCTGCCAGGGCAGTCAATCACTGTGATGTCTCTGACAGGTCGATGGAGCCTGAGTTGGGAAGGCTAATGCTGAAAGAAGAACGGCTGAAGAAGGACTATCCTTCTGCCTGTCTCTTGGGCTTGACTAGTCTGAAAGCTGTACTTGAATTTGCCCTGGTTAGAAATATGTCTGTCTGTAGCACACAGACATGAAGAAGAAGACTTCAGTCACAATAAAAAAGGGCTAGTGTATTCAGCACATTTTATCGTGAAATAGCTCCAGTCTTGATTTTATTTTGTTTCAGGAGACAAGACATAAATGATTAAAATGTCTTTTTGGCAAAATCTTCTCACAACAAAAAAGGGGAATAAATATGAATCATTGGAATAAAATGAAAGGTTAAGAATGTCAAGTAAAAAAACCAAATAAACTGAGTCAGTGGAATAGTTTATTTTTCTGGATTCATGATTACATTAATTTGCATTAACCATGTTGCCTTTCTTCTGCTTTTTCCAGCATATTTATTTTCTGAGCTGCTGCTCTGTAAGTGAAGGTTAATTGTCCTGTAAATAGTTTACACTAAGAAGTTCTGAGCACTAGAAAGTACCGAGCAATAGGAAGGTTTTTCACAGTTACAGTCAACTTCCAGATCTTACTAACATTTTGCACAAATGTGTTACAATAAGTACAGTGCTAATTGCACTGCTATTTTAATTCATCTTGCACCAGTGTGGATTTACTTGTGGGGCAACAGTCTCAAAAATAGCTTGACTCCTCCCCAACCACTAATTAATCAGATGCTAAAATTGCCTAACTGTAGGACCAAGGAAAGTGCCCTCGTACACAGCTAAAAAGCTTACCAGACACAAAAGGCTCCTGGCTTTTAAAGACATTTCATTTCCCTTTTTTAATGTAATACATCATCAGAAGCTTTTAGACCAAGAAAAAAAAACTTAGAGCAATATTACATTCAAGGACATGATATGACATATCTTCCTGGATTAAAAACTAAAAGCAAGAACAAAAAATATGCATTATGATGCCACTATACATCTATAATGAGGAACTACTGCTAGAAAAAAGGCCAAATGTTAATAACAGTGAAATACTGTTAGAGGAGACATTTTTCCAAAATGTAAAAATGAGGAGTATTTGTGAAATAGCTATTAAATAGATATTTTGTGTCTCATTATATGCAAGAATTTCTGTGCTAGCCTCTACATTTTTAATAAGCAATACTTACTGTATTCAAAGTATTATTATGTTGTCCATTTATTTGCATTTCCTTCCCCACAGAGTGATCTTATATTTAGCAGCAGATGGTTTGGCTATCAGAACAGAATATGAGTTAATTATTTGGGTTCAGAATACCAACAGAATAAATTCATACAACATTCAATGGTATGGTAAGGATTAGACAGCTATTTGCCTTTTTGTAAGCAATATATTTGGCACCTGACAGTTATCCAAATATGAACTATATCTCCTACAAGAACAAAGGATTGTAAACCAGTAAGTACAATCATACATACTGAAGCAGAGGGGAAGGATGGTTTTTTTGCTTATGGCACTGGAATAGGACAAACAAGATGTATATTGTTCTTAGCTCTTTGACAATCTGCAAAGGGCCTGATTTAAATCCCAGTGAAGTCAGTGAGAACTTACAGCTGACTTCCTTAGACTTTGAAATAGGCCCTGATCCTACAAACACTTAACATGTGTATAACTTTGCTTATTGACATTTTCCACACTTGAATGAAATTGGTCCAATGACACACTCTTGTGAATAAATATATTCATACATATTAGTTGACCTAGGCCATTTCTCCCACCTGTAAAATAGAAATAAGACTTCATGGAGGTGTTGTGAGGATAAACAGGTGCTCAGATATCACGCTATTGGCACCATGGAAAATGCTATAAACAAAAATAAAGGTTGATACTTTGAATGAAGTGGAATTCTAATATTCTATTAGTATGAGTTTTGCAGGGGTGAGGAAATCTCAGGTTCAGGAGGCTGGATGCAGCCCCGGGCTTGCCTGGATCCGGCCCCTGAGACTTTTAGCTTCTCCACCCCCCAGTGGCACTCCAGCCTCCCCACTGCCCCACTGTAGGACTGAAGCCTGGGCCTCCCTAGACTTTAGTGTGTAATGGGAGTGTGAGGAGTGTCTTTCTTCCTCTCAGTCAGGTTTAAGAGAGATACTTTGACATTTAGCTCAGTGCAGGAGGATTAGGTCAGAAAGACCACAGGTGACACACCAGCTCACCTTTAACCTGAAGAGCTTTGTGCAAGCTTGATTGTTTGTCTCTCTTACCAACAGAAGATGGTCCAGTAAAAGATATTATCTCACTCACCTTGTCCCTCTAATATATGGGACTGACTACTTGGCTGCACCACCCTTGCATATCACAGCTGAGAGTTATTTTGTGTTCAAATACTGGTAAAGTGCTTGCAAGGAAAACAGTATGTTCCTTCTTTTCCCAAAGTTTGTTATCAGATTAGACTCATTATCTCCAATGATTTGTAATGGTTAATGTATTTGTCTTTGTATTTTATGGAATGAAGCCGAGCTATGCTAGTTACTGCTAATGAGTTAACATATATTACCTGAGCTTTTACCTATGTTTAGAATATCTGTGGTAACAACAGGCAAATGTTGATTTGTAATGGCTTTAGCAGTATGCTCTAGTGGAGTAGCTTGAGTACCCAGCACTGACAGAATGGAAACCAAAATGAATTTCAGAGCAGTCATTAGATTGCAAATCTAGGTTTCTGCATTGATTTCACAGTCCTTCCTACTGGTTGATTTGTGAATTAGCAGCGCTATTGATTCTAGACCAGCCTTCCTCCTCCTCTAACGCTCAGTCACTTTTAGATGGCCAGTAGTGAAAATTCAAAATGGCAAAAAAAAGTATTTTAAAATACCAAATATCAAGCGCTGCTACAATATCTTCAGCTGCTGAAAATAAAATATTGAGCTACTCAGAAATGCTTTCACATTATGCTAAGGCAAAGTCTAATTCATTTGTTCTGTCATTTGTACAGTGCATATAAAGCCTTAATAAACGAATGTATCCTGAGATCAGTATTAAAGACAGAAATGCCTGTCTATTGTCTCCTCACTATTATATATATAATATACAAATATTGGTTTATATGTTTATCCTTTGTGAAAGCTGTGGAGAAAGAGATACTGGAATACAATGATGTGTAATAAGAGAACATAAATTTTATTTAAATTGCTAGAAAATATATTTACAAATATGGTAACATCCATCAGCCTATGACCTGTAGCTATGAATGCTAGAATATTTTGTCAGAACTCATAAGATAAGATGGTAATACTGATGCATATGTTAAAATGAGATCTTGTCTGTCTTGATTTGGCATGTTTCTGGAACTTGATTATAGCAGAAAAGAAATAATTCCCAATAGTGATAAAAAATTGCATCCTTTTAAAGAAACTGGAAAGACTATTGCAACGATTAATAATTTCCCTTTATAACTATTCTTTTATCAGCCAGCACCAATTTTTTAAATGATATTTTCCAGCAAATACATTTGAGAGTAAATAAAATACACCTAGACATTAGCTTAGATTCATTTCCTTCCATGAATTAAGACTTCTCATGCAGTAAAAATATGTTCTACACAAATAACAATTAGTATTTATTTTTATTGGGAAGACGGTTAAATATTTCTGCATGCTTGATTAACTGTCTACTTTAAATTTAGTGATTTCCCTTATCAAAAAACAGTGCATTGTTTCAAAGCCAGAACAAATGACATTGCTTTCTATTTAAATCACCGCCTTTGCTGCCATTAGTACAATAGTTACATGGGAAGAACTGATCATGTTCTCTGTGATGTTAAATGTAGACAGCAAAAAGCACCAACTTGATACTGTGCTGGTATGCTGCAACTGAGCTATTTTTAATATTTCCTTGTAACTGATTTGTAAGTGAATTGTGCTTAGGCAGTGTCAGAACTTTCCTGTCAGCTACTTTAACAGCAAAGAGATAGCTCAATGAATAATTCATTGAAAGCAATTTTCTCCTAGTCACTGAGTCATCAATCATAGTTGCCTAAAGAGCCTTGAATTGGCCAGCAGAGCTCTATTCACAGGTAGTGTGATTTAGGGAATAGGAGCCACATTCATACTGACAGGTCAGGTAGCAATAAGTAAGGGAAGGTGTCTCCTTTCCAGCCTGCTAATGAGTCCCAAAACTGCATACTATTTTCAATTCCCCCCTTTTTGTTTTTTGTTGTTTTTTTCCCCCTTTTTCAAAATATCACTCAGAATTGTAGCCATAGGGTAGTTTTGCCAAACAAAGGTGCAGTTGGATGAAAAACCAGTGTAAATATTTGCACATTTTTTCTGGCAGAAATCCTACTCTGAAAAGAACCTCTTCAAAAGGGAAAAGTGATTTGATACATGATTGCATGCATTTACCCATGTAATTGAAATAATGAGAGATGATTGCTTTGAGCTAATAGTCATAAGTTACTGGTCTTTTTGTTTAATCCAACCATCAGCTGTCAAGAGCCTCACAGGAGCATTGGGAAGATGCACCAAGGATATCATTTGCATCACCTCAGACTG